CTGTATAGGCTAGGGCGTAACACCTCGAAGAACATGGTAATTTAAATATTAGCATGAAAGTCTTAAAAACATTATTTGCATATCTTTTAAGTATTTTTTTCAATAAAGCAATATGTTTATCGGTTCAAAAGTATGGAAAATTTATTATACTGACACTTGTGAAAGTACAAGCTTCGTGGCAGAAAGTCGATAACTTAAAACAGTTTTTATTGCTAATTAATTCTTAGAATTTCTATGCCTATAACTCTATACACCTCTATTTTCATTCAGTTTTACACCACCCTCTGTATCCTGTTAGTAAAGCAACTCGATCAGAACGACAAAGGAATCTTTATATACATTGTTTGATATAAGTTTCGTTTGTAGAGTGATCAAGAGAGGGCTCTACTAGTTCCGAACCGTCGCGACGCTTCATATCGACGCCTCCTTACATCATGCGCGATTTGATACAGTCCCTTGAAAAAGTATTCCAATCAAATTCCAAGAAATTTCCACGCACTTAGGTTTATAAATAAATCCAGCAATGAAGGTCTTATTAAAATTGACCCTGAGGACAACCCTTGCAAACATGTAATTTTTTATAATGATTTTTGATCCGGTATCGGACGACTGAATAATTTAAAAATAATTCGAAACGAAACTATGCACAATTATAATTTTAATTATTGATGAAGATATTATTACTCCGAGTTTATTAATTTTATATTATTTTAAATAAATACATGTGCAAAGAACAAATAAATTTTACATATTTTCGTTTTTATACAAAACATATAATATTTTTGCCTATGTTTAGTAGAAATTTTCTTTTTTGATAAATTTATTCAAAATATATTATTGAATATTTGTTATGCACGAGAAATTAACAGAGATATTGAAAATTATTATGTTAATATTTTTGACTACAGAAATAAGAAAATAATTAAACATCAGTAATGTGACATTACATGATACTTAAAAAAAAGGAATAATGAATAAAGTCCTTAATATGAAGATAATTATAGTTATATAAATATTTTATGTTTGAAGTAATACATAGAAAGGCATGTTTCTAGGCATTATTTTAGTACTTTTAAAATATAAAAACAGACATTTTTTAAACAATAAAATTTATAAGCCATGCCTTTATAAATCGAATATTGCGATACACAGGCAAAGTATCCATGTGAAAAGATCAATTTTGAATACTTAATCGAGGAATTCAGGTTTTGTTGCATTTATGCCCAACATGCATGAACGTTCAACAAGTGTTTTAATTTTGTTAGAACCAAGCCAAATTAATTTGGCTATGTAACAAATTATATGTATTACCTAACAAGTGAAATAAAGGCAACCTAACAAAACATAATTGATATACATGGTGTAAAGAAATACCTAAGTACGAAAAAAATTCAAGGGGTGACACTCTCTGGAAAAATAAGGTGGGTCTTTCATATACAAAAATAATATTTGAACATTCCCTGTGAAGCTTAAAGAGGGTGCCAAAGAAAGTAGTTTTTAATTTTTTCTGAAATACCAAAAAAGCCACCCCTAGAACTTCTTTCATACGTAACTAACTTTTTTCTTATTACTACCTTAACATTTAAAAATTCATTTCAGATTGCCTTTATTCTAAACAAAAAAGGTCATCTGTAATTTTTCGTAAAGTATATGATTTCTGAGCAAACAATTTACTATTTAAAATCAATTACATGACATGACATGGCATAGGATAGAAATTTTATCGAGTTATTATTAAGTTGACATTATAAAATGTCAACATGATAGACGCCTACTAGATAAATTACAGTTCCATAAAATTTCTACCCTATGCTAATACTGCCATGTAAATGATTTAAAAAAATGTTTTTGCTCAGAAATTGTTAATTTTACGAAAAAATTGCAAGCGACCTTTTTTGTTTAAAATGAATCAGACTCTCTGAAGTAAATTGTAAGGTAAGAAAAAAGTTACGTATGAAACAAGTGCCTTTTTCTACCCCTTACAACTGTAGGGGAAAATCAACAAATAGTGCCTTCTCAATAGCAGAAAATGTCTCTTTAATTTCATTTCTGTCACTTATTTGGCATCTCACAAAATAATTAAAAACTACTTTTTGGCATTCTCTTTAGGCGATTGTATCTACACAAAGGATGTACAAATGCGAATTTTTATATAAAAGATCCACCTTATTGCCCATAGGGAATCACCTCATTTTTCTCATTTTGTATAGGTATTCCTAATTTATGATACTTATAAGTGTGAAAATTACGTTTTGAATTTAAAGTACCATAAAGAACCATGGTTTATAAATACATACCTAAGGAAGATCGTTGAATCAAAGATATGTACATACTTTCTGTTTTTATCCCTTCAATTGAAAGAGAAAACTTAATGTATTAAAATTACGCGTAGTAATAATTTAATTCACCGAACATAGTACATAAACGTAGGTACAAGTTATAAAAGTAATATACCCAATTTAAGAAATATTCAATTATAACAAGAACATCAAATGTCCCAGAACTCCTTTTACAATATCGTTAATTAAATTAGCTACAAATTTCGTTGTTTCTACGCCACTGAAGGATGAATTACTAATTACCCGCTTTAGTATTATTTCAGTATTATTACCCGACTTCATTTAATTTTTAAATCAATAGTTGTCTGCCCGTTGTGAAAAGTGACTAAGATGAAAACGCTCAAACGAATTGTAAGTATTATTTCCCATCATTTATAAAGTTACATCTACTACAACAATTGTAGATACATTATACATAGTTCGTAACTAAAATAAAAATAAGATACAGATATAAATACAAATAACTAGAAAATATAAGGAAGATTAAATTTTGTGTGGTTTAGGTGACATTTTGTGAAAGTATATTTAAAATGGTAAGTAATGCTTATATTCTTTAACAATGTTTTGATAAACGGAACAAGTATTCATAGAAATTAGATTATAATTTAGATATCAATAACTTTAAATGCGAACAATACATAGACATCTCCGCACCTTAAAATGTATATTAGCTTATGCTGAAATTGCAGTTGCTTAATGTTTCAATGGAACATACATTTATTGAATTGTTTAATGAATTACAACAAAAATGGAAAGGCAAAAAATTAAGCTTATAATTTGAACCTGTGTTAATATTTTGACAATATTTTCTCTTTTAAACTTTTTAATTATGTTAAAAATATGTGTTGTTTTCAAGTGTAACTAAAAATATTATTATGTGTATAATTTATATTAACTATACGAATGTTGGAATGAAGGTAGGAAAAAAGTATCAACTTTAAATCCTTTAAAAATTGTCATTATAACAGAATGTTAAATATAGCAAGTTATTTACTAAATGCAGAAACATTTTCATGCCATGAGAAGCAATCTCACGTCAACTCATCAATGCAGAACCTTTGGGGCTGCATTAAATTACTACGGTCTTCTTGTCCAAAGGTATTCGTTTCAATATTTCTTGTGATGAAAGGATGTCAGTATTTATCACAATTATTGCTATAGTTTAACATTACAGTTTAACATTAGAATTATTAAATCCCCTCTTAACTATCTTATTTTTAAGTTTTGAATTTTGCACACGCTGTCATATTGACATATCTGAATAGAACACTTTTTGCAGAATAATAAACATGTAAAGCCTGATAGGAAGATATAGATATTCACGGCACAAATGTAATCTTATAGACATTGACTTCATCAGTTGCTTTGTTACAAAATCTTTCTAAAACACATGTTCTCAGGGTGGTGTCTTCCTTATTGTTAGAGATAAATCCATCACATCTTCGTTCATTACGTTCCCATCTCAAAGTTCTGTCCAAATATGACAAACTTTATATGATATAAAAAAGATTGTCATGTCTTTTAAAAACATGTATAGAACTCAATATCATCATAAAGAGCTTTAATTACACAGCCAATTAGATAATCTATTGGATTCGCCGTCTTTTATTTAGGAATCGGATTCGTAATCAGCGACCCCAAATACCTTCGGTAACAAAATTCAGGCAAAAATATTTAATAGAAAAATGTGTGACTTAGGAGGTAAGTTTGTAGGTTGTTTCCATCCCTTTGAGGGATAAGTTATATTATATTTTTAGGTATGTTGTCTGTCAACCTACGTCTTTCTTTCTAAAGCTCAAGATATTATTTTAAGATGTTTTCTCAAAGTAATTACAAATTGGTGCATTTCATTATAAGGCTTTACCTTATCCTCACTATTTCACCCTATTTTGGGGATGTTTTATCGTTTTCCTAAAAAATCACCTGGTAAATCGGTCTTTGGGTTACTGATTCGGATTCAGTAAAAAAAATACACAAAATTTATGTTTTGTGGGTCTGTGTTATCAGTCACTTTACACTTTTCTATGAACTGGAAAATAAAAATTTAGATGTGCCATTTACATCAATAACCGGATGCAAAAACTCCATCATTGATCGATGATATAGAAGTATGTTCTATCCATACTTTGAGACACTTTGATATACTAAACTCTTTAAAAGAAATGGAATATTTTTCCTGGGACATTTTTCATGTTGTTTTGATATAGTTCTGCCATGTATTTTTAGAACGACCAATTTTATTCGAAAGTACAAGTTCACACAAACTATTACTAGATATGAAATGCTATTTAAATAAAAATATTTAACCCGATTACGAAAACACGCTAAGCGTTGACCTTGTCGCTTATAACATACATGTTGTACTTGCCTTCTTCTTTAAAGCAGACAGCTTTCAGTATCGACAATTTATTTTATCTAATTGTGCTATATTACGCTAGGGCATTAATGTAAAACGTTTCGCCCTACTGCCACATTTTTTTCCAAGGCATTTTCCCGCCAAACGCAACATCACCAGCCATCCACTGATATGAATATAACTATCGATTTGGAGATTTTCAGGACTCTGAACGCTTTCAGCAGGGACTGTACTCCAGCTGATCGATTCCCGGCTGAAGCAGTAGAAAGCTCGACACCACAGCCTACCCTATTACTACAACAAACAAGTATTTGTTTTTGTACAGAATTAGTGTTTTCGCATGTAGTGAACTGAAACTTGAAAGTTATAAGTGAACGTGGTGAAGAAATTCTGAACACAAATTAAAAATTAATTAATTTTCCAATAGTAAGTAGTTTGAATGATTTTTTTACTCACTTTCTGTTTGCTCCTGCCTTGATATGTCGGAAAATTTCAGATTGTAGGTTGTTTTCCAAGACCTTCTTTTCTCTTGCCTTTCACGACTTGTCTTTCCAATCCTTGTACTATTAATAATTTATTTTGTTGGGCACTTTTATTTTGTTCATATAAATTAATTTATTTCTTGTTTTTATGGTTTCTAATATTAAATTATGTGCGTAATGAGTCTGCTTTACAAAATGATTGTTGTAAATTTTTATTACTGGGTGTGGTATGTTCATAATGTTCTCCGATTTAATAAATTGTATTATTATTATTATTACTACTATATTATAGCAAATACAGAACACGTAGATTTATTTCTATTGTGATAAAACATTTATTAAATTAGAGACACAGAATTACTATTTTTAATATTTTACTGAAACGTTTCAATATTTACATCATTTTCAATATTTCACCAGTCCCCAGATGTTGCGCATATAAACGATTTTCTTTCTTGAAAGTCTTAAAAGACGTATTCTAAAGCATATGCCGTTTGATTTGAATGAAATTGTTTAAATTTAAACTAACGGATCGTTTTTTTTTTAATATATTTGTATAAATAGTATAGTACCTTAGGGATATCTGAACAGGCCCATCGCATACTGGCTCCCATAGGTTATTTTCTTTGGAGATATTTAAAAACTTGCAGGATCTAAAAAATTCTATAATAGAATCATGTCAGGCTATTCGTCATATTGCCAGTCTTTATGAATGTCAGTCTATGAGAAGAGAGTCTCTGTTAATGTTAATGGCGGACACTTTGAACATTTGATGTAATTAAATTTGGTTTAAAATGTTAAACTAGATATTATTCGTTAAGTCTTCTTCTTCATTAAATAGAAGAATTCTAATTACACGACTTTTTTGTAGTTATTACTTATGTCATATGTTCAAAATAAGCTGTTAGCAAGATCTCAAAGGGGTCAAAATATTCGAATTTTCCTACAAAACAAAAGAAAATTCCATATTTTTCTCAATAAATCGTTGCAGAACGTTTCCTGTGCCCATGGTTTTGCAAATTATTTACTATGTCAAATATGAAGCCTTCTAGGACTGTTATTTTCTATTAATTTCCAATAAATTTCTCTTATGATTCATGTTATACATATAAGCAAGTATTTTTTTAATTTCTTCTTTAGCTTGAACACTACTCGATCATAAGAATTATTTCCTAGTTAGAATGATGTAACCCTCTTCGTTATCGGGACTTCGGCCACTACATATACAAATATAAGGCTTAACAGATCCAGTATTTGCTACATATGCATATCTAGATTATCAATTTGGAGGAAAGTTAATCAAATTAGAAAACCGTTTTACTATGTGCCCGAAACATAAATTAGTTTTCGACTTCTGGTAAAATTTCGAGACCCATCAAATGGCTTCTTACAAATGGAAGGTCGTATTTTTTTCGAATCCAGCACGCAATGCTGCTCGTTATTCCTAAAAGAGAAATATTACTGGCAATGTCTCCGAAGCCTCCTCTTTGTCGTCTGTTGAAAGTAGGTCAATAATTATCATAAGTCATACTGATATTTTATCAATCAATATAAGTAAACTGGACATTGAAGAACTGTTACCATTCAAGAAAAGGATGTTGACACTTTGAAGAAACATTTAAATAAAATCGAGATAAAGGTATAAAATGAAAAGAAAAGACATATAAAAGGTAGGACTACTATATCAGAATTGGAATAGCTATTACTAGGCAAGAATCAGCAGAAAATGATTCTTGGTTGAAGAATTATCTTGAAGTTAGCTATTTCTGGCACAGTTCAAGCTTTTTCTCTATTCAATGGGGTATTTTCTTACTTGTAAAAAAACAGTATTAATTTCCCCAGAAGTGACATTCAAAAGTTATTTCTGTTTTTACCTGCGCAACCAAATTTGTCAAGGACGAAATAGGTAGAATGTGACAACCTAGATAATTTTCCATACATTACATAAAAAGAAAAGCTTACCATAGAGCTACTCTGTCAGCGTTGGAATACAAGATACTGAAATGTATTTTATGAAGAAAAATCTGTGTAGTTGCAATTCTTCCAGAATCATTTGGGTTATCTTCGAAACAGCTTCTGGATAAAAGATCCATGTTACTGTACGGGTTTTATTAGATTTGCAACATATGTGGCTCACCCGAAGTTTTGCCTAACTTCCATTAGTACTGTTTTCATCGACATCAAGCTAATTTGGTAAAGTTACACTGACTAATTTCACAAATTGAAGGTTTTATAACTTTGGAACGCTTTTGCACATTATAGTGCTTGCTTAATGTTCAAAGTTGCCACGATTAAAACCACATTAATGACACATGGAATGTTTGAATAAGTATAGGATACGAATACGTTTTGTAATTATTTAATATGCCTCATACAGATAGCAACTTTATACGGAATCTTATTTTTTTAACTTTATTATTAATTTTATACATTATTGGTCCTTGTCTCTTTCAAAGTACTTCCCTGCTCTATTCTTCGCAGTTTTAGATAGCTTCATTTGAAATGGCATTTAAAGTCGATGAATTTGCTTTGATGTCATCAATAGTCTGAAAACGCCGTCCTTTCAACACTGATTTTAATTTTGAAAATAAAAAAAATCGCAGGGAGCCATGTCTTGCGAGTAAGGAGGGTGAAGGACGAAAATAATCTGATTTTTGGCACAAAACTGACGAATTGACAAAACTACGGTGTGTGCGGGGACAATGTCATGGTGCAAGAACCATACGCTGTTTCGCCAGAACTCTGGTCTCTTTTTGACGTAACCCTTGTAAAACGCCTTGATAGTTCACTGTTTCACCTTGAGGCAGGAATTCAAAATGTACAATTCCATTAAAGTCGTAAAAAAACAGTGAGCATCAATTTGATGATCGAGGCTGCCATGCTTTCTTGGGCATGGAGATTCTTTGCCAATCCATTATGATTGAACTTTTGTCTTAGTGGCGTAGCCGTAAACCCAGCTTTCGTCTCTCGTTATGATCCCTTGAATGAATGTTTCATCGTCACTGAATTGTTCAAGGAATTGCCGACCACGATATTCTTTCTGCTGTTCGGTCATCAAACGAGGAACAAATTTTGCTACAACTCGATGCAGGTTCAATTTTTCACTCAAAATTTTATGGCATGGCATTGAGATGCTAACCTCTTATGCAATTTCTTTGACAATCTGACCGTACTAGGTCTTTGACTTTCTGAACGTGGGAGTCATCAGTTGAAGTCGAAGGCCTTCCTGGTCGAGGATCATTTTCAATTGACTGACGATCGCTTTTAAGTGTTGAAAACCATTCGTAAGGGTCGTATGGTAATAATTTCATTCATTTCATTTCATTTTCATAATTTACGTCAAGTAAGGATGCATAATAATATCAATACAAGCATATAAAAACTATTAAACATTTAATTGTTAGTCCCCTTACCTATAGAGCTAACGAATGTATCAGGAATAATGTGTTCCCTGGTATTCTTAAACTTGCAAAAGTTATTCCTATTCATAAGAAGGGATCCATCTAACTATAGACCCATCTCCTTACCTCCAATTATATCCAAGATTTTCGAAAAGATCCTGAAGTATCAAATTAACAAAATCTTTGAATCAAAATTATTTCACTCCTGTCAATTTGGCTTTCGAAATAAAAGGTCCTCGTCACTAGCAATAAAAAACTGAATGCACTCAGTTCTGAGTGGCTTTGAGAATAGAAACATTACTAATGATACTATATATGACCTTACTAAGGCTTTTGACTGTGTGACCCACAACATTTTAATACAAAAACTTTGATCCAAATAGTATCTCCCTTATTAAATCATATCTGAGTGACAGATCTCCATTTGTCACTTTTAATGAAAGTAAATCTTCATGCTTAACTATGAATCACGGAGTCTCAGAACAAGAATCAGTCCTTGGGCCTGTACTGTTTCTCATTTACTTAAACGATCTACCAAATAGTGATAGCAAGTTTATTCTCTTTGCGGATGATACTACGATCCTAAACAGTGCAGGTCAGGCCAGTGCCCTTCTTAGAATGTTCTAACAACACAGGATAACGTTAGGCAGTGATTTTTGGCAAATAAGATGTACCAATCAAGACAAAACTCAGTCTATTTTGTTTACTTTGGATTATGTGCATAATGAGTTCACCAATTGCGCCTCGCAAGTGAAATTTCTCGGAGTGAATATTGATTGCCAAATTTTTAAATTACAACGCAAATGTATTCGTATTATTGCTGGGTTACTCAATAGAGCAGACTGTAAGCAACAATTTAAGAAATACGGCATATTTACACTACCAAGTGTCTGTATCTTGGAATGTTTCTTGTAGATTAAGGAAAATATCCCTATGTTTCGTCAACATTGTATCAACCCATTATCCTACTAGAAACAAGTCCCTGCTCCTCTTAGACTAAGTAGAACTAGAGTCGGTTCTAATTACTATTGCGTGTGCTTTTTTAAAATGCTGCCTGAAACAATTAGGTCTTTGTGTAATGCTCACTATAAAATGAGAATAAGGAATTTTCTTAAAATGAAAGCTTTTTACTCATTTGATGATTATTTTAATGATGATTTTGGTGCTCTTGTTAGTCCCCTAGGAATACCATGTAATGTGTGTGATGTGGGATATATTTCTTTATGTATTTTGTAATAATGCCTCTTTTCGTATCTACAGTATTTATCTTTAGTATTTTTTAATGATTTATTCACATACCTATTAGGTTTAACATATTTTTAATCACTAATACTTTTGATGTCATATTTCTTATGTGACTTGTGACAGTTGTCTTATGTTCTTACATCAATAAATTATTATTTTCTATATGCTAAAATTAGAACTAATTTCAGTAATTAACTTACTAAATAGTAATCAAGTAACTTTTAATCTTGCATACAGAAACGGCAACAATTTTTGTTGGAATTTGTGTATGATACTATGCAAGATTAAAGTTCTTAGT